AAACCGCATGGTGAAACGCCCCTGTGATGCGAAAGGCACAGTGTATAAGGGGTGTCGCCTGAAGTTGCCGTGAACGCGGTGCGTTGCGAGTTTGTGCAGCGCGGTGTGGTGTACCGCTACTGTACAACTTTAGCTACCTGCAATGAGAATCAGGGCCGAATCCTATCCTTCCTTTAGGCTGGGGGAACAAAAAAAACCTTGGAATTTTCTTTGCCTTTCAACAAAAATCGCCTGAGAAACTGCATATTTGTAATGTATATATGTGTGTAAAAGCAAAAAGTGCGGAAAGTAAGGGAAAATTGTCTTTGAAAACAAATGAATTCAAAGGACTCTGTTCCTGCTCTAGCCTGAGGGAAGGATAGGATACGGCCCCAGAAGTTGATGCTAATGCTTTTTTCATAATTGCAATTTCAATGTATAAGAACTTTAGATTTACAAATTAATGTAATACCATGAAAAGAATCAATACACATTTCACTTTTGCGTATTCAAAATTCACTGACACCCTTATAGGTGAACAATTTCGACGCCATTCACTTCTATAGTAAGAGAGGGTTTTCAATCGTTGAAACCGCTCACAATTACTACCATCGATGCACTCCTGCAGATGCTCACGTGATGCACAAGTTTCTGTGAATAGAAGATCTTCCCTAGAAATTACTGAAACGCTAGCCGGAGGGGATTCCATGATCTGGTGCTTGAGAAACATGACGTGTTTTTGCTTTCTGATGTTGATATATTGATGTTTACTGTTTGGAATGAATATGGCTCACTTTGATTTTAGGATGTTCTGTTTTCATTAGACAACGTAATTGGTCTAGAACTCTTTTGTGGTGTGGCTCTCTCTCTTTCTCTCTCTATCTTGTGAAAAGGACAACGAGGCAAATCGATGCTGCACGATCCCACACCTCATTATCGCTTTCACCATTAGCGATAGTTGGCTGTCCAACTCAGTGCAACAAGGATGAACTACAACCAGGGTTACGGCGACATGGTAGGTGTCAAAATCGGAAAAACCATCGGATCTTGTCACTGATGCTTGATTGCCCAGGGCAAATGGTTCGCAAGTTCT